GTTTGATATTCTCAAGTTTCAGAAAAGGATTGCAAGTAGCTTGGGATTAGAACTGAAGCCCGAGGATCATGAGAATGAAACCAAGCTTGCAGGATTGATTTCACAAAGGTTGAGGCAAGGCAACTCTGTGCTAATTCTAGATGATGTGTGGCAGCAATTTTGTCTAGAAGATGTTGGAATTCCTATTCTAGATGGAAATAATGGTTGCAAGTTAATACTCACAACGCGGTTACAAGAAGTTGCTCGTGCAATGGAGTGTGAGGTGATCTCTGTGAATCCTCTTCCACCTAAAGAAGCATTAGCATTATTCTTGGAGAAAGTTGGAAGTGCAGTGTTGTCAGATGGCAGAATTAAAGTAGATATAAAGCCACTTTTGGAGCAAATTTTGCAGAAATGTGGTGGAGTACCTCTTGCTATAGTGATAGTGGCAAAATCAATGAGAGGGAAATTACTTCCCCGTCATTGGAAGTTGGCACTTTCTGAATTTAGTAAATTTGAAAGCATTATTGATTGTTTGAAATTCAGTTATGAATCCCTAGAACCACAATGCCAAGAGTGTTTTCTATACTGTGCATTGTATCCTGAAGATGCTGAAATCTACAGGGAGGAGTTAATTGAGTATTGGATTGAGGAGGGGCTTATATATAAAGAAGGGATAACTAGGGAGGCAATGCATTGGAAAGGTCATGATATACTTGATAAGCTGGTTGACAGTTGCTTGTTGGAGTTGGCTAGAGGCGATGAATTTTGTGTGAGTATGCATGATCTTCTCCGAGAAATGGCATTGGAAATTAGTCCTCAATTTTTGGTGAAAGCTGGCATTGCCTTGGAAAAGCTACCAGAAGAGGGTGAATGGAGAGAAAATCTTTTGAAGCTTTCTTTAATGAAGAATCACATAACAGAAATTCCTTCAAGCATGCCACCTCCAAAGTGTCGTATGCTTACAACCTTGCTGTTGTCCAATAACAATATTTCAACAATTCCAGAAGCTTTTTTTGAGCAAATGCTTGGGCTCAAGATCCTTGATCTTTCTAGGAATGAGAAGCTACATAAGCTACCGAGTTCTATTTCCAAATTGGAGAAGCTTACTACATTATTGCTGTGGGGTTGTGAGTCCCTAATAGAGGTACCATCTTTATCCAACCTTGTAGGGTTAAAAAAGTTGGACCTTTCCTGGACATCAATTAAAGAACTACCCCAAGGTCTCAACACGTTAACAAATCTAAAATATCTTGGTCTTGGTGGAAGATTATCAGAAACACTTGATGAACAGCTACAAAATCTCTCCAAACTTCAGCATTTACTAGTAAATGCCGATCCCTATGCTGGAATAGATTTTAAATGGGAGCCGATTGGAATTTGGGGGAAGCTTCAAAACCTTGAGAAGCTGGAACTTGGTTATTTGGATAACTTGAATATGGTGTTTGGGGAAGTAGGAGCAATTGCTGAGTCAGCACCGCTACCAGCTGGCACATTTTCCTCTCTTCAATATATTTGTGTTG